CCCCAAAACCCCAAAACCCCAAAACCCCTTTCTTAATAAGATTTATTGTACAAAAATTAATAGTATGTTGGCTAGCACGGCAACTCGGAGATTAAAAATGCTGCAGTCCCACTTTGTGACTGCAGTTTCAGGTGAGGAGGTTCTGAAGAAATTCGCAACTGTTGATCCTGAAAACCTCACTGAAACCTCGAAGGTTCAGAACCTCTGTAATGGAGAGTGGACAGATACCAAAGAATGGGAAGATCTTATTGATCCAATGACTGGTAAAGTAATGGGAAAGATGCCTAACCCAAAGCAATCAAATGATGAGCTCAAGCCTTTCATTGACTCTCTCAAGAGTTGTCCAAAGTCAGGACTCCATAACCCTTTGAAGAAGCCAGAAAGATACTTGTTGTATGGACAGGTTTGCAAGAAAGTAGCTACATTGCTTGATGATGAGAAGATATCTGAATTTTTCTGCAAACTTATGCAAAGAGTTGTTCCAAAATCATACGCCCAATGCCAAGGAGAACTCGTTGTCACCAAGAAGTTCCTTGAGAATTTCTCCGGAGACAATGTTAGGTTCTTAGCTAGGTCATTTGCGAATCCAGGAGACCACACCGGACAGATGTCACAAGGGTTCAGATGGCCATATGGTCCAACAATCATTATAGCTCCATTCAATTTCCCAATTGAAATACCTGTATTGCAGATGATGGGATCTCTTTTCATGGGAAATAAAGTACTTGTCAAAGTCGACTCAAGAGTTTCAATAGCAATTGAGCAATTTGTCAGACTTCTGCATTATTGTGGAATGCCTCAGACTGATCTTGACTTAATTCACTGCCAACCAGAATCAATGGAAACTATCATTAGAAGAAGCCATTGCAGACTTATCCAATTCACTGGATCCTCAAGAGTCGCAGAGCATCTGAACAAGCTTACCAACGGGAAGGTGAAAATTGAAGATGCTGGATTCGATTGGAAAATTATTGGCCCAGATGTAGGTGATGTTGACTATGTCGCATGGCAATGCGACCAAGACGCATATTCTGCAACCGGACAAAAATGCTCTGCTCAATCCATCCTCTTTGTTCATACCAATTGGCATAAGCACGGACTTCTAGAGAAAATGGAGGCACAAGCCAAGAGGAGGACAATCAAAGATTTAACAATTGGCCCAGTGATGACTTGGACAAATGAACAAATTGAAGAGCATATGTCGAAACTTCTAGAGCTGGACGGAGCCAAACTCCTCTGGGGAGGAAACAGACTTACAGGACATTGCATCCCAGATATCTATGGAAGCTTTGAGCCCACTGCGATCTACGTTCCAATCAAGCATTACACTACCAAAGCAAAGATAGATCTGATTTGTACAGAAGTATTTGGGCCACTCCAAGTAATCACTGATTATGAAATGGATAGTCTTAAAAATGTTATGCATACTCTTGAAGAGATAGAGCATAACCTCACTGCTGCTGTTGTGTCCAATGACAGTGACTTCCTCACAGAAGTATTGGGCAGCACAATCAACGGAACTACATATGCAGGAAGAAGAGCAAGAACAACAGGTGCTCCCCAAAACCATTGGTTTGGACCATGTGGGGATGTCAGAGGTGCAGGTATAGGAACCCCAGAAGCCATTAAGCATGTATGGTCCTCTCATAGAGAAATTATTTGGGATAAAGGGCCTGTACCAGCAGGATGGGGAAATAAAACACTCCCAAAGCCTACATAAAGTGCTCTAGAATTCAATTTTACTGTTGAAAAAGGGGTTTTGGGGTTTTGGGGTTTTGGGGTTTTGGGG